ACGTCGATAATCGCCTGTTGTTTCTAATTCCAACAAGCCGTAAGTGGGCGACGTGGAGTAAGGAGAATAGATTTTAGGTACAATCAAAAGTCACCATGAAATCGCAAAAAAAACGGCTTGGCGTGGAGAAGCCAAGTGCAATTAACAATTTTGGCATGAAAGGGGTTAAAGATGCAATGCGCCACCTCTAATCATACAATGCGCCACGTTTGGTGCATGCGCCATAGGTTGGCCACCCCTGTTCTATGTCCTATATGGAGATAAATTCTAATAAGTAAATTTAATGATTTACACGTGAAATTAGTGCGGACCCTATGGTCAATTGATGACGCACATGGCTTAAGGCCTTGTTTGTAAATGTTTTTTAAAACATACGCAAATTTCACGAAACTCCAATTTCAATTTCCAAAATTGCGATTCATGGACACGGGCACTGACATGCTTGGGAAGACTGAAAAAAAAACTAAGAATCTGCATGACAAAGGATCTGCATGACAGGATCTGCATGACAAAGGCTCGGTGATTTGAATACGCTCGCCACCGCATATCTGATTACTTTGCGTGGGTTCGCAGGTTTAAATCCCATGCGCGGATTGCTATGTGCGAAATAATTTCTGGGCAATTCGCCACCGTAGGGTGGTTCAAGTACCGCCGATAGGTTACCGCTTTCACTACCATCAAGTCCATGCTTCCAAAAAAACTAAATGAATAATCAAAATTTTAGCTCTCAGATTTCATCCGTAATTGTTCGTTCCACTATTATATTATCTCAGTGGCCCATGGCACTTCAACGGTCGCCGCAATTCTGCTTAGAGATCAGTTACCTTTGTTTTTGAAAGAAATATCTCGTTAGCTTGATTTTGCAAGTGTTTTTCAGAAAATGCAGAATAATAGCATTTCGTGCTTAAACTTTAGGGAAAAATATCGCTGAAAATATTATCCTATCGTAGTAAATTTGCATAAACTACCTGTAGTCAAAAAAAATTTGCCACCCTCCTAGCATATAAAAAAAAGGCTCCAATGAGACTAAAATTTTGAGTGCGACTCCAGTATAAAGATAATTTTGGGTCGAACTCTAAGAACCACTTTCGAAGCGTAAAAGATTAAACTATGTGTTTATATATATATATATTATAAGTGTTATAGCAAGAATGTGAGACGATAAGAATAGTCTAACTTAGTTAAAAATTTAGACCCAAACTTTAAAAATAGCGTCAGGTAAGAATTAGTAAGATTGCTATTTCTAGTCTTATGTTGCGTTTCCCTCAGGCGATGAAGGCAAACGGTCGGCATCGCGCAGTGTACTTTAAAGATAGGCGGTTGTTTTAATTTATCATTGCTAACATGGCCTGTCTATAAATGGTTAGGGCCGCTAACTATAGCGAACACCATGTGCGATACGGATTGACTTTTACTTGAATACAAAATTACGAAGAAACTTATCTACGACCCTTACGAGTCCAGGTATACATAATAAGAACTGTATACTGTTATGAATATATTATATAAAAAGTAAATTCAATGATAAAACCCTAGAATTAGTGCGCACTCTATGGTCCATTGATGACGCACAGTTTGCAGTGGCTTATGGCCTTGTTTGTTAATGTTTTATAAACATACGCAAACTTCACGAAACTCAAATTTTATTTTCCAAAATTGCGATTCATGGACACGGGCACTGACCTGGGAAGAATAATAAATACCTAAGGATCTGCATGACAAAGGCTCGGTGATTCGAATACGCTCGCCACCAGATTTCTGATTACCCTGTGTGTGTTTCCAGGTTCGAATCCCATGCAGGGATGGTTATGGGCAAGATAATGTCTGAAATCCTTGCCTGCCCCGTAGGGTGGTTCACGTAACCGCTGGTCTGTTACGGCTTTCTCTACAATCAAGTCCATGTTTCCAAAAATAAATACCTGTCTAAATCAGTGGTTCCCAAACTTTTTTGACGTTATTTTGATAGCAATAGTAGCACGGCTGAAAACCCCTTTTTCACCATATAACAGGTCGGAAATGAAAGAATCCAGGGTTCTACCTCCTCAAAAACCGCCGTGTACTCTTGCCTTATAGTATTTCACTTCTTAAATTCACCCTATTTCACATTAAAATAATGAAAACAAAGTTAATTTTCCCAAACTTATATTAATGATTTTCGTACATCTCATTCATTCGTACAGCATGATGACATGCACCAAAATACTGTGGTAAAAATTAATCCCCGATTCCTCATCCTACCACGGCCTCCAGTCCGATCACCAGTCTATAATTAATCAGCCATTTGTTTTTGGATTCATGGACTCGGATGTGGAAGAAGTCGTGATCGACTATCGGCTACGGCTCGCGGGACAAAATTCAGCGTTGCCAGTCTTTTGCGGGTCGCATATATTTTTTGAAAGTTAAAAACGGAACAGCGCGCGAAAACTGCGACAATTCGTGAACTCAACTCAGTCGTCTTATTAAAAAAATATTACAATGACATTTAATGTGACACTGTCTTGTTGCTGCATCACGCTGAATAGCTTTACGGCGTCAAAATTGGAACATTTTCTAAATGGGTATCATTAATCCCAGTTCTTTGCTTGTTCTTTGTAATGTTCATTTTTGAAAAAAATTGTTCGCACAAATATGTACAAACATCGAAGTGAATATTTTCGCATGATTTGTGAAATTTTGATGAAGATTTCCTTTAGGAAGATACATTCTTACAAAAATTAAGCAGTGATGAATGTCTCGAACAGAATATGAATTTTATTTTCTTATTGCATTGCAATATATATATTCGAATATTGACTGCGCTATTGAACCCCTGCCCTCAGCATCAACTTTTCTTTGTGTTTCCATTTGTCTAATTATAATTAAATTGTGGGCTCGTTAAACGAGTAGCTGTTCAATAGAATTTTTAGGATATAATAAAATTTAGTCCAAACGTGTCTAACGATAAATTCTGTTACGTAAAAAAATGTAATTTACTCCTCGAGCGTAGATTATAAATAAAAAATTTTCATCGTCAAAACCGCCGTTTGGATGTTTACCCGGACATAGACTTCCTTGTTTACTTCGTAACATTGGCCAATCAGCAAGATGCAAAAACGTAACAATGCCCCCTTTCACATCCGCTCAGACACGCTCACTCAGACAGATTTTCAGGCGTGGTCGTGAACATTACCTCAGTTTCGCTTTTTGAATTATGTTCGTTAGTTTTTAGTTGTTTTTCGGAAATTTAAATATAAATCAATGATTACTTTGTCTTCCTATGAGTTTCAGTTTAATTACAGGAATCAAAAATTAGTGTAGAAATAGCTGTGATAGACTATAGGCTAACATTCTTTATCGGTACTTTTAAAAAACAGATTGTTGAATGGTGTGTATTAGAATGATAGTTTGAAACAAATACCCCATTTTACAGGCAACAACTCGCGAAATCACTCTTAAAATAGACACCGGAAATTTTAAAATGGTAAAGTATGGGAAGAATTTTCCGCGTCAAAGGTCGGGGAAAGGTCCATTCAGAGAATCGTCTCGGGCCAGATTATTTTACTCCGACCGTATTTTGCCGACCACTGGGATACGCAACTACCGTCCCTTACTGCGATGACGAGTCCAGAAATCCTTTCGCGTGTGATAATCGCCCACGTGATTCAAGCCTGCGAATGCACACAGATTACAGAATTAAGTGCGCCGAACATAAAACAGGTTTCACGAAATCGCCCCCTTCGACTTTTTCGCCCCCCTCTGTATCGTTTTCGCCCACTGGGGGGGCGATATCGCCCACTTTGGGAATCACTGGTCTAAATAATCCCATACCCGACCTGCGGCCCCATTCGCCAAACTTCGTGAAAAGCCGCGTTTACGAGCACGTAACCTTGTCTCTCAAAAACGCAGTTACGAAATCTCGTTAGGTGCGATTCACGAAACATCTTGTAAAAACTTTACGCACGGTCACGCAAGTTCTCTCGAAATCCAACGCAAGGTCGTCGTTGAACAAAAACCACTGTATGATCACTCAACCGTATCACTCACTGCCGCTAGCCGCCCGGCGCGGATAATCCTATTTTGCAATCATCTCTGTTTTACTTTTTGCAGCCTGTGATTTAAAGTTTGGGGAATACAGCAGTAATCTTTGAATGAATGAAATAAATTTTGAGATACATATTGTTAAACTACTTCTGTAACAGACAACAATATATATGAATATGTAATCCCATATTTGATGTTAGTTGGCATATATAGGTGGGTCCACAGCTACTAGACTACAGTCACTCTTACCTAAGTTAGGCATTTAGAAATTTTTGATACCAATTTTTGTGTGCAAACACAACAGCGTTTGTTGGGGTGCATGTCGCACATACTTGTCTTGGGTCAGTAGGGTATTGAACGTGTATCCCGTCTTAGTTATACCGTTTAATTATTATGTAGAGACTGTTACAAATAAACACACATACAATTTACCCTGAATTCAATGCTGAAAACAGGCCAAACTACTGTTAACGAGTAAAATGTTCCCCTCGTTAGTTTGCGAGCACTCCGACGCGTTGAAGAACTATGGTGAATACGATTATCGGGAAAATGAGAGAAGAAGGCATTTTACGAGACGCCCGTTTGGCGCGCAAAAAAATCTCTCGAATGTTAACGATACTTCAAGAATACCATTTTTGCCTTTTACGAGAAAGTGGGTGCTTTACTAACACGTTAAACGATAAAGAAGTTTGGCGAATGGCGCCCCGGACGAGAGGCCGTGGTTCGCCATATGCTTAAGTCGTTTCATCTGCTTTAATCTCTCCCATGGGTAACAATGTAAATCCAATCCAACTAGACAAAACAATCCAATCAACACATATACCTTGAACCACGTTATCGACAGGTAAATGTAACATCAAATTGCGATAAAGCCAATTAGAAATGAATTCGTATCATTGGATATTAACAGAACGAAAGTTTACTTGAAATAGTAGAAATACATACATTTTAAAACATTTAGCCTTCAAACACAGATTTCATCGTAATTGTTTGCTCAACTATTTTATCATCTCAGTGACCCCTGGCACTTCAACGGTCGCACGCAATTTTGCTTAGAGATTTGTAAACTTTGCTTTCGAAAGAAATCTCGTGAGCTTTATTTGAGCAAAATTTTCTAAAAATGTTTTTTAAGTTTTAGAACAACTAAAAAGTTAACGAGTATCGTCATTTAAAACAGCAGCAAGCTCATAGTTTGAACAAAACTTGCTGCATTTCCTGTCATATTCCAGAGTTATAAGTTGAAATAAACACAAACAATTTGAATCATTCAGTTATAACGTAAATACCTTAAAACCTCGATATGAAAACATCAGTCATTTTCATCTTAATCTACGTCATCAATAAATCCTGGTGTCAGGATGAAACAGTGTTTCACTGCTCTCCCAAGCCTGGTTGCCAGATCGCACAATGTCATCCTGTTGCTGTAGGTTGGGACAGACCAGGCTTCAACATTAATGAACATCTACATGACAAGGAATTCCCGATTACATGCAAATCAAAGAAAACGACAAAGTCCGGAAATAATAAAGACTTGCTTCCAATTATATCTAGAAATATTTTAGGCAAGTAGTTCTCACTCATGATAAAGCCTTGTTAAGTGTCCTTGCAAATATCCTAGGCCGCCAACCATAACTGTTAATAACTACATAGAATGCCATGCTCAGTATATCCAATCAAAAAAAGGACACGCTCACGAAAGATCTGACTATTTTGGTTAATTAAATAAAACGTTTTCTATTACTGAAAAAATTCTGATTGTGTAACTTTATTTTTATGAAATAAGACGATGGCTAAGGAATAAATAGCGTTTGAAACTAAGGGCATCTAGTTAAGGGATAGGAATACGCTCGCCACCGCACCTCGTATTACCATTCGTCGGTTCTAATTCAATGGGGAGATAGCTATGTGCGAGAGGATTGTAGGACTCTTCTTCCTCGTAGGGTGTTTCACGTAACCGCTAGTCGGTTACGACTTCCTCCACTATCAAGTCTATGCATCCAAAAACAAACAACTAGGTAACTTATTTCATACTCTACATGGACTTGGTACTAGAGGTCGTGGTTCGCAATATTTTCAAGCTGTTTTATCGGCTTTCCTCTCCCTTGGGAATTTCGGGATGATTATGTAATCCCATGTTACCATTGACTACTTGAGCAAAAAAAATACGGATGTCACAACCACTAAAATTATATCAAAACATGCCAAACTTATCATAAACTACCATGAAGCGTAAATGCTCATCGCCAAAATTCTGAATTAATCTGGTATTCATTCGAGCAATTGAAAATTTGTCAATATGTTAAATTTATTTCACTTCATTTCACTCAGATATTAGCAACGTCAAATCAGAATTCAAAGAGTTGGAAGAAAACGTAGAAGTAAAAATGAAAAGCATTCGGAGCTTTGCGAAAGAAATTTCAAGTTAGTATTAATGACACAAATAGTCGTTATCGGACTTTCTTCAATGGAGTATGCTCCTCACCGAAGTTGGCATAGGAACGTTGGGGTAGGAGGTTGGATTTGAAAAATCTACTTGAAATCTTGTTTTAATGCATAGTTTTTACTGCCAAGAATATTTATTTTTACCTATATATACCACGCAGAAATTCGCGAGATACAGAATGAAAATACAGAGCAATCTGCGGAAATCGTGGATTTGAAGAAAGGTTTGTGCAATGTTTTTTAATATGACATTTGATCCCGTGTAGTTGTAATTCTTTTTCACTGCTGTAAACGTGCTTCTATGGGTTTGACATACAAACTCGAAAAATCCGCAGTCGAGACCAACACTAGGAACAGTACCAAGCTACACACTACACAGGATTCCAAATCTGTATAACGAATGAATCCGAGTTGAATTAGAAAATGTGATTATCAGGTAAATAGGATTTGAATCCACAAACATCCAACGCTTTATGTGATCTTTTTTTATTAGATTTGGTCAGACTTGAAACGATGAACAACCAGCTTTCGGAAGAATTGGACGAACAGAAGCAAACAAACAATGAGATGGAAAAAGGTAAATCACGCAGATATAGCTCAGCAAATGTACCTTAGCTGATAAAATAAAATCATGCTAAGAATTTCAAATTAATAATTCAAAGTTTTACAACATAATGGCGCACCGGATGTCCCTATTTAATGTTAGTATAGATGGACCCTAAAACTTGAGCAAAAGTTGGCTACAAGTTCCTGCAACCAAATTGGCCATTGTGCCACTGACAACATTTTGTTTTCGGTAATGCTTGACATAGACGCTGTTCTAAGTTACGTATATTCTTCTCTTCAGCAATGGAGCGGATTGAACAAAAAAAATCTCTGCAATGGATAAGCCTCAAGAGGTTCGATCTAGAAACCAACAGAAACCAACGACAACAACCAAAACAACATTGAAACAGACCCCGTCTCCAGGTAAACCTTTATAGTCAGTGGCGCAGTGAAGATCTCATTCAGAAATTTAAAGTCGACCTCGATTCCACCGGAGCCGGGGCTCGATGAAAAATTTTAAACTATCAGCGTTCCCCAAATTCGGGATAGGAAATTCTATGCTCAAAGTCACCTGCAGTCGATTGTGAATTTTCTTACCTGCACAGCCCTGTTCAGAATACCACAGTAATATCAACTTCATAACTGTCGTAAGAGTTTGGTTATAGTTGGCAAAAGTAATTTACTTTTTCCAAAACGTAGCGATCTGTGCTCTAAGAAGAGGTCTGAACAGACACCTATTGTGAAGTCTGGTGAAGTTCACAATATGTAAATTAGATATGGAAAGTATTTATAGAAGCAAGAACTGCACGTTCATCGGTACCGGCAAAATATTTGCATTTGTAAAACTGCAAATAAAATTTCTTACGTTTTAGAAAACTGCGAGTTGAAGATCGGAAATATCTGTTATTCTGCTTTGATACAAATTAAATTGAACGTCGACGACAACAAAGCAGTTGATATTTGTAAGAAACGTAACGCGGATGTTGGTTCGATCCGAAATGAAGAATCTTACAATGCGATTATGAAATACTTGAAGAAGAAGATTCCAAAAAGACTATCACATATTAGTATATGGACAGGAATTAAGTTTTGATCCAATGGTTAGTGTCTTATGGCTGTCTATTCATACTCGTATAAATATAGGGATCTGTAAACAAACGGGTGAAGTGTGAGAAACCCATTGACATTATTACCAGTCGCGGTCTTTGTGCGCATCAATACAGTTTGAGTGAAGGTCTTTCTCTTCTCGAGGTTGTAACGAAATTATGTGAGCCAAATAAAGTAAGTATATGCTAAATACATTTGACGAACTTCTAAATGCATTTGAAGTGCCCGCACGTCTACAAAGTGGTAACGAATATCCCAATCAGACTTTAGTTTTTACAATAATTGCGAAACCCCACGAACATGAAGCTTGAAAGCACATACATGACAAACTAATGAGAGTTGATCAAGCATAATCCAATAATAATCTTCATGTAAAAAATTTTATTCTTTGTTTTCAGACCCGTGACGTCACACCTGCAGATTCATTCATTAAATGGCAAGGCTTTCCACTCATTGGAATTGATTATAAAGATTACACAAATGTTTATCTCTCTGTTGATTCCAACTCGAGATTGCAAGGGATGGAAAATACTTATCCTACCTGGGGGCATGTTAGAGTTCCCCTCCGGCGATTTCATGGAGTTATATGTGAGATCCAGATCTTATAAACGTCTGTCTGGTTGTATTTCTATCATCAGTGAAATATAAATCATTCAATCCCAATTTGAAATTGATGTCGAAAATTTATCAAGAGTTTGAATAAAAATAGCGAACATTCTACAACAATAAAGTTCAGTTATTTACATAGTGTTATCTGTCAGATTGTTTCGTTTTACCAGTCTGATTACTTTGCATTATGAAAATATGGTGGTGAAATTCAGAGATTTTGATGTTTAATTTACGCTATTTTAAAAACTCGAAAATGAAAAATATAACAAAATAAATTTAGCCTCCATGTAATATCTTTTTTGCTGTTTCCACGTCTGTTTCTCAAATGAATCAAGCTGAGCAAAGCCTGTAAGAAGGTTGAAGGGGTATAGGATAGGAAGACTGAGGGAGATAGGAGATAGGACGTAGACAATTTTGTTTTGTTTTCATTATAAAAAAATACGAAGCACTTAGCAAAATAGAATTTAGTGTTGAACTTCAGAAAATACGTCACTGAAATGAGATTGAGGAAAAACACTTTTTTTTAACTATTCTATTATTGTAAAATAACACACACTAAACCATGCGCAATCAAAGTAATTTGCCACGCTCCGAGCGAATCGAAAGACGACTCAGATAAGACTGAAATTTAAGTGCGACCCCAGTATAAAGATAATTTTGATAATCCTAAGAAAACCAAGCCAGGGAAAATTGGAAGTTTAAATCTTCGTGAATTATCCGTAGCTACTTTTTACTTTTACTTATCGATTTTAATCGGTAAGTATGTTGATAGGTATTTGTCTGTCTGTATGTATGTCTGTTTGTCTGTTAGATGCACGCGATATCTCACGAGAGCGAGATTGCATCTGCTCCAGATTTTGCATGTGCATTCATCTTATCTCGGACCAGAAGCCTATTGATTTTGGGCGAATTATGTCGTATAATTAGCGAGATATCAATTAATTAGTGATGGGACACAAGGTGTCACTATGGAGTAAGATCGCTATTTTGGGGGGATCCCCTAACTTTTTATCGATAAGTCTTCGGTCTCTGACCGATATACTCGTTTTTTCATTGTTATGTATTATAAGCACTTCGCAATGAATGCATTTCGTACAGAACAAGTAATATTCACACTCTACATAAATATAAGTTAGTACATTTATCATCAAATATACAGCACAAATATGATTTCAAAATTATGCACCGAAAGAGGGTTCTTTGTGTGCAGTTACAAGTGGTTACCATGGAGGCGACCTACGTCACAGGTGATAACTTTGGTCGGAAGGTAAGTACCGGTATCGTAATGCTGAGTGAAAATACGAGCACAGTAATAAACAAGAGAGCTATTCTCAAACATATGAACAAGTAGCGCCACCCAATGGCAATAATTTTGATGACGTCATAGCGAAAAAAAATAGTAATAGCCTTCTGGAAAAAATTTTATCTTTAACCACTGAACATTTCAAAGTAATTAGTCCAGTATTGGAAGAGAAAAGCGATTTTTTAAAAATGATAGAGACAAATAATAACAATAACAAGAGAGCTACGCCCAAATATATGGACACGTCTGTTCGTAGTACAGTACGGTTTACCGTACCGTTGATCAGCGTAAGGAAAAAATCGTAGCAAAGTACCGTAAGGACTTCGTTACGAACCATCGACGTTCGAAATAAATCACTTCTGCTGTATCGGATGGTATCGTCGGAGTAAAAAAATTGTGTTTTCTTGGACGTAAAAAAAATAAATAAATAAAAGTAATAGTCTTCTGGAGAAAAATTTCATCTTTAACCAGTAAAAATTTTGAAGCAGTCGGTCCAGTAATGAAAGAGAAAAGCGGTTTTTTAGATTTTCCACTAGATGTCCAAAAAGTGTCAAAGAACAACAACAACAACAAGACCAACATAATATTGAAACGATCGTTGTGTCCACTACGCGTTGTGTCCAACAAGAGAGCTAAGCCCAAATATATGGACACGTCTGTTCGCAGTACAGTACGGTATACCGTACCGTCAGATCACAGTCTACAAATATATTCACACCAAGCGAAGCAGTACAGTAGGACACAAAATGGCGTCCAATATCCGCAGAACGTTTAATGACGTCATAGCAAACAAAAACAAATCTCACAGAGCTAACAGAAATATTTAAAATGAATAAAATAATTCTGGGGAAAAATTTTATCTTCAACCACTGAAAATTTCAAAGCAATTGGTCCAGTATTCGAAGAGAAAAGCGGATTTTAATATTCCACTAGGTGTGTTATTCTGTGTCAAATAACAACAAGAACAACATAATATTGAAACGATCGTTATGTCCACTACGTGCCCAACAACATAATATTGAGACAATCGTTATGTCCACTAAACGTGTCCAATAAAACAAAGTATGGATTCAAAACGTTACAACCGACGACCTGCACCTTGTATGGAAGGTAAGTAGCCCATGATTTTTTTTCTTTTTCGGATCAGAGTACGTTCTGTCTCGGATCAGTAGCACAACGATACGTCATGTCCGAGGCATTGCGGTATTACGCTTCATAAGCATATTGTTGCATACGCAACATTCATAAATTTACCTGGGGGGCCGCTATGTCAGTTTTTTATTTTTTTCATTTTTTTTTTATTTTTTCTTTTTTTTTCTTGTTGTTGGCGGATCAGAAGTTTTCCAGACTCGGATCAGTGTCTTGAAGACACGTCATATCCGAGTTTTATCGGTCAATCGCTTCATAAGCATTCTACTGCATGCAGTAGTCATACACTTCTGGGGGCCTCAGTATGTGCCGCGCATCTGCAAAGCACAGACGTATGCAATGCATATTTTTCAACGTGGGGCTTCCGTCCATGCCATGCACGGCAGGGCACAGCTTCGGCCACCCCGGCTTCCGTACATACCGCGTAAAACGCAGCACGACATTCACCGAGAAGCTCCCGATTCATCACTTCTGCTGTATCGGATGGTATCGTCGGGGTAGAAAAATTGTGTTTTTCTGGACGTTTTGGTTATTGATTCGGGCTACCATTTATGGTAGTTGGAGATGATATTGCTATTACCTAGTTTCGAACAATGAAGTTAATATTTTGTTGCATAACCGTTTAAAATGTGTTTCCAGTTGTCTACCAGTTCCAAGAAATGTACATCGCCAAATTTATATTCCATAATTGTGATAAATTCTGTAATGTTTCTTATTGTAGTGGCCAAAATTGTGTCCTCTTCGGGTTCCATGTATTTGTCTTTATGTCCATCTTTATTTTTTCTTGTATTACGTTTTTTTTCAGTAGCACAAAAGATTTTGTTATCATAAGTTGATGGGGCCCTTGATATCCATTATACACTTTTTCGTTCGGGGTTATTATGATATTTTTACGACAAATTTGGTTTAAGGCTTCAGTGATGTCCGAAATATATTTGGCTATTTTAACGCAGGAGAGGAAGATGTGTTTAGTGTTGTCTGTATTAATCTTGCAAAATTTCCAACTTAATATCCTTAAGGCTCCCGATGTTTTATGGCGAAGTCCCATTGTCCGCATTTTGTCTCCAAAGATGTATCCATTAATTGAAATCCGGTATGAAAATACTCTTTCGATATTTGAAAATTTGGTCCTATATGTGTTCGTAAGCAAATGAATTTCTTTCCAGTTTAGGTCCGATTGTTGTTGGTCTGGGTGTTTCTTCTTCAGTCTCGCGTACAGGTCCCTGTGGCGAGCCGTCTCCCATTCCGCTTGCGTATAATTGACCTCTTCAATAAATAACTCGAGTATTGTACCACATTTTTGGAACATCGCTGCTGTGCGGCATCGAGTAGGTATATAGATGTTTGTTTACCGCATTTATTTTCGAACCCAGGGCGTATAGGGCCTCAAAGTGCCAAAACTGAGTTGGCGTTGTTCTGCTTATGAGGTCCCGCATCCTTTCAACTAGGCATGCTTCAATCTTTGCCTGGAGATCAAACATGTTTATCCCCCCGTTTTCCCAACTATTCTGTAGGGTCTTTCTACCCAACGCTTCTATTCGTTGTGGATGCCATAAAAATTTATAACATGCGCTCACGATTCTAGTTATTATTCTATTAGGGATACACTTGATTCGGGCATGGAAAATTATAATAGACATGACTATTGCATTGATTACGATTAATTTTCCAAACCAGGTAAGGATCCGCAATTTTATGCGATTAAAATTCCTTGTAGCCTGTTTTCGATATCTTGACAGATTTTTTCTTGTCCCTTATCTCCAAAAATTATGCCAAGTATCCGGGTGTTGTTTTTTATGTAATTTTGCTATGTCGAATTATGTATGGAATCATGCGCGGTTTTTGTTATACAAAGTATTTCAGTTTTATCAATATTAATTTTCTGCCCAGCTGCCAATTTAAAATTATTTAGTTCTCGAAATATTTCCGGTATTAATTACTGGTCCCTGATTGTTTATACTTATAGTGATATCGTCGGCATACTGATCAATTTTGTATTCATATTTACCTAGTCTTATCCCTCTTATGTTGCCGTTTCGATGTACCGATCTTGCCAACGGTTTCGAATTCAGTGCTTAGAGCAACATGCTCAAGGGGCATCCTTGTCTTATGCCTTGCTCTATGCCTACTTCATTTGACAGCTTTCCATTCACGTCTATGACGCTTTTTATGTCGTCATACATGCCTCTCATTACATTTAAAAATCTTTGTCCGAGTCCTATCCGCTGAAGTAATTTGACCCTATCAAATGCCTTTAGGTTGTTGATAAGTACTATTGCCCCTGGGATGTTTTTTGTTTAACACTGGTTCCAATCTTTCAATGAGAATTTCAGATACAATTTTGTAATCTACGTTCAATGTAGTGATGGGCCTCCAATTTTTGAGATACGTTTTGTCCCCCTTCTTATATAATAACTTAACCTTTGCTGTGATTGCAGATTTGGGAAGATGGACAAAATTAAATATGTGGTTGATCATTTGAGTAAATTCCTTTTTTATGCAGTTCCAAAAAGGCAAATAAAATTTTTTACCTAATCCAACCATTCCCGGAGATTTATTATTTTTCATGTATTTTATTGCCCTATGTATTTCACCCTGTGTGATATTTTGTTCTAGAATGAGATTTTCTTCCTCCGTAACAATTATAGAGTCCATCAAAGATAGGTAGTAATTTTGTTTTTTTCTCGTATCAAATTTTCCTCCCCCCATAAATCGGCATAAAAATTTTCCACCGAAGTCATAATTTCCCTTCCTCGGTTACCATGCAATCGTTATCGTCCCTGAGTTTTGTCGATGGTGGTTTGTTTTGCTCT